AAGCCCTAGTCAGCAAAATAAGTGTGTGTCATGTGTCTTTGGTGGCAATCACTGGCCCGACATCCCAGGCCGCTGGCTGGCAGGAACCTGGTTGCTGTCATTGTCCTCCATCTCAAGGTCCTGGAGGTTTTCCTCTGAACCTTCTTCAGGGGCGTGGCCTGTGTTCTGATTCCCTGCATGAACCTCCCCCTCCACAGGGCCCTTCCATAGTTCCCCTGATTCAAGAGGTGGACGTTTGTGTGTTTGTTTCTAGTTTTGCAGGAGACAAAGGCTCTGAGAGGGGAAGCCACTGCCTGGAGGTCACAGAGCTAGTTGGCCCGTGATGCAGCTAGCCGTGAACTTGCCTCTAAAGCCCTTGGACCTCTTACGGGAGGCCCCAGGGTAAGTCCACCAAGAAAGAATGACCCTGTCCCCTCCTTTCTTGTCCCTCCACATGGAGTTTGGAGCTGTTTTTCTTTTTTTTTTTTAAGTAGTGTGGTCATGGGTCAAGGACAGCTGTGGTGAGAATGAACGCCTGGGGGTCGGGGGCACTTGGAAGCCTTTAACTTTTAATCTGCTCCTAGGAAGGTGACCAACCGTCGCTCCCAGGACTCACTCTGAACGTTTTCTAGCGTCTTGCATTTTTTGGTTAGTGACAGTTTTGCAAATTGCGGGTAAAGAACTTAAATGTCTAATTAAACCCCGAAGATGTACAGGAGTTTGAAAAGAGTGATTGATGTTCACGGAGGTGCGGATCCCTGATGGGGGCCGCCTGACAGGGACTGCAAAGCCCGCTCCGCGACTGATGTCTTGTTGTGATCCATGTTGTCATTTTTTCATTACTGATTAAAATTAAAAATCTGCTTGGCAAATCCATTGTAAAAATTCCCTTCATGAGCATCGACGGGTACAAATTATTTTGTCAATCGTCTGGCAATCAAAATGGGGCTGGAGACGATTCTAGCCCACACTTTTTTATCCCCCTCTCGCTCACGCCAGTGACTTTTCACAACAAAGTTTTAAAAAGCGTAGGTAGCAGTCTTGGCAGCATTTTTTTTTAAAAAAATTAAAGATTCATCTCTATTTTTTAATGAAACGTTCTGTTTGCGTGAGCCCCTCCCCCACCGAGAGCGGAGGGAAGGTTCGCGGTGGGAGAGTCAGTCTGTGCTCTGTAATTGTCTAATGCTGTGTAATGACAGGTGGATGATAGTAATAAAAGCCTTTATTAGGATAAAAATCTGTTTTGAGAATGGAAGCGTAAATTGTCTAACACTTCGAGGCAGAGAAGAGCCTTGCTAACCTGCAAACCAAGTGGAAAATATTTACAGCTACTCCACTGAGATGGCTTTTGACCTGGTACATTGTGTCGCGGGGAGGATGGGGCCGCCAGGCAGGAAGGACTCACGGGTGGCATGGGGCTCTGCGTGTTGTGCTGGGAGTTGTAGGTCCTGGACTCTAGATTTAACTCTGGATAGTCACTTCCCTTACTAGGTCCCAGCTTCCTCCTTCTCAAGTCACGTGATCAGCTTGCCTGGGCAGTTCCTCATTCCCTGGGGCACAGCTCCTGATGCCTGTTCTTTGCTGGAAGTCGCAGGGCAGGCACAGCTAGGCATTGAAGGTCCCCGGGCTCACCCCTAGATACTGGCAAGAGACCATGCTGGGTTTGGAGCTGGAGGTGTTGGGTGGGACCCTGATCAGCCACCTATGTGCCCTGCACATAGGTAGGCATGTTGAGAAATGTACTCACGTCTTGGAGCCTCAGTCCCTTGAGTCCCACCATGAGCACTCAGCATGGTGCCGTCACGTGGGAGGGACGGAATCTAGGAAAATTTAATCTAAAAAATTGCAGACACCCAAGAAATCTTTGAAGGCCCCTCTGAGAAAGAAAAAGACTGTGTATGTGTGTGTATGTGTTGCCCAGGTCCCCAGATCCCCAGAGCTCCCATGGAAGCTCCATGGAAGCTCCTGGGTCCCCTGCATTGTGTGAGCAGCTTTGGGGTTGACTGCTCCTGCTGCCAGTCTCTGGAAGACAGGATCTGAAGCCAGCACCTGGGTTCAGGATCCCAGCAGCACCCAGTTCTGATGTCACCGGCCTCCATCCCACCAACAGGCTGGTCTCTGTCCTCAAGGCACCGAACTCTTTCTGTCTTTCTCAGACACACAGAAGAGTGAAGCTGTGGAAGGTCCTTTTAGGATATTCTTGAACTATAACTTAGACTTAATTAAGAAATATTTCATTCTGTTCAGTGTTATTTGTTTATAATTTATGCATTTCATTTTCTCACCCCCCCCTTTTTTTTTGCACGAAAACCTAAAGATTTTCATTCTTCTGGAAAGAAAAAAGTAGAATAGATTTCTAAGGGATTAGGATTGCAGGGTCATCTTTAATGAGAAATAATATGCCCCCTCTCTTTTTATAGACTCATCTGCTTTTAAAATACCTTGAGCAAATCACAGTACAGAGAAAGAACTTGGAACAATGAAATCAGGAGGTTCGGGATTCCAAATCGACGGACGCCCTTTCTAACTGAATTGGAATATTTATGACTCTTCACACATAGTTGGCATGTGAGCCTCAGATGGAGAATAGGGATATTATAAAATGCAAATAAATCCACATTTTCCTCCCTCCATAATAATGGGGACAGGACTATTGGGAATTTTAGAGGCCATGGATATTTGAATGGTTAAAAAAAAAAATCCCTTTAATGATTGGGCAATTTTCTTTTGGAAAATGCTTCATTCTATTTTATAGGATGATTTCCCCAAACCTATATTTTTCGGATATTTTGCTAATGTGCCAACCCACAGCTGGAAAGACAGGCATTGCCTCTTCCACACCCCTGAAATGTGAGCTGATGCGTTCGGCGTTGGTGAGAATCCTGCGTCCAGAAACCCCCAGGGAGCCCGGCTCCCTCCTCCACTCTGGGACAGTTGAAGAGGTGTTTTCTGAGACTGGTGCCCACCCACTTGCCTTATGGACTCATCATGCTGAACATAGTTTAATTAAATCACAACCCCCAACACCGAAGACCTTGTATGTAGGGGTGGGAGTCCAGAAGTGCACTTCATGCAGGCTTTGTCCTAGAAGAGCACCAGCCTGATTGGAGAGAAGGGGGAAAAGGAGAGGAGGGCAGGGTAGGAGAGGGGCGGGGAGGTTGCAGAATTCATCAATGAACACAGTAGTTCCGGTGGACATGTTTGGCGTTTAGCGAGATCTAAGGCCAAGGTGAGCTATTTCTATCACTCCCATGCTCTGCCAGTGTCAGACATGACCAATTGATCCCAGTACCTTTCCCATGTGGGCAGGGGCCACCGTTGCTGTCTATTGAGGTTGGCCCAGGAGAGTAAATCCAGGTGTAGGTAGGAGCTGGTCCCTGGGAAGGGCCCTGGGTAAGAACTCAGGGGACATGTTTCCTGCTTCCCTCTGGGTGAGACTTTGCTAAATGGTGACTGTAAAATGACCTTTAAAGTCCTTTGCAGCTCTGACATGTTAGCTACGAGCAGCTTACTGAGAAAGTGTTTCAGTTAGCACACACTGGCTGAGGACCTACTGTGTGTTGGGCACTGTGCGTCTATGGACATTAGGGGGGAGATGGGCATGCACTTGACCTGTACTAATGGCAGCTGGAGTGTGGAAGAAAAATAGTTTTGGCCAAGGGCTCCAAGAGTTAGGGGAGGGAAAGCTATGGGGCAGACCGGGAAGGCTTCATGGGGCACCTGGCAAGCAAACTGGCCTGAGTGGATCAAGAGGAGTCCGGTGGCCACAGGTCTGATTAGTGTCCAAAGTGCTTGGCTTTCTGTTCTTCATCCTGGATCCTCTATTTCCTCATCTGCAAGTTGGGGACCACGTCAACTACCTCTCCAGATGGAACAAGACAACAGTGTAAACAGGTGTTTTATTCAAATGCCCCTTACGATTGTTGTTAATTATTCATTTGGTCATACTTGTTGAACACCTGTCTGCCAGACCCCGTCAAACCCTGGGGATAGAGAGGTTGACGGGGAGGGGATAGTCTCCTTCCAAGAAGTCCACCTTCTGGCTGGGTGTCATGGCACAGGAGTGTGCGAGAGCAGACATTTCAAACTGTGTTTGGGTGCTGGGAGGAGAGACGTGGTGGATTTAACCCCAAGTTATGAAGAGGCTCAGCCTCTGGGAGTAACCATCTGAAGGGAAGAGCTTGTCCTCAGGAGGCAGCTCTGCTTCCTGGAGATCTTCCAGAAACCACTTTGCCACTGTGTGGCTGAGGATCAGAATCAGCCCCGTGTGGAGGGCTTAGCACGGCCCTGGAGTGGAGAGGGTGGTCCCGGGTCCCCACTGGCTGCAGGCACCTCACCACCCTGTCCCTCTTGACCTTGCCAGGGGAGTTGCTGGGCCCCCTCAGAGATGCGGGAACTGGGGACTGCCAAGGTGAGTGTCTGCCCCCCAGGTGATGTGGCCAAGTAACCCCAGCTCCATGGGGCCCGTCTGAACAGGCTCATCTCCGCCCCGATCCGGTAGTCTCCCCCTCCTCTGCACGTTCCCTGGCATTCAGCTTAGGCCTTGTGGGGACAGTCAGGTGGCCAGTATTGGGGCATGGATATGGAGCCAGGCTGACCCGAATGGAGACCTGGCCTCACCACTATGAGACTCTGGTCACCTGGCTTTCCTTCCTCAGTTCCTGCATGTGTCAGAGGGGATGTAGAGGAGCTGGCTCGTGAAGGGCAGCAGGGACGAGCAGGAGAGCCAGGAGTGGCAGCAGGCCTGGCACGAGACTGCTCTTATGTGCGACCACGGTACAGGCAGCTTTCCAGCGGGCGCCTCTCAGCCTCCGGGAGGGGCCTCTGGACCACTTTGCCATCCACCCCGAAGCTGACACCGCCAGGCCCTGAGCACACGGTGTCCTGAAACGCTCTCTCTGCCTCTGTTGACGCTGATACATACTTGTCGTGGGCGATGTTCCCACTATCAGACATTTGGTGGAATCATGAAAATCTATTCCCACCCTGCTTAATACATTTTCATGTTTCTTCCTTGACAGGCCTGGGCATGCTGGATTTGGGGGTCTCACCATCTTGGGGCCCACGCCTCTGATTTGCTTGGGAATGGAAGATGTTTGAGGACTGTCCAGGTAAGAGGCCCAGGTCACTGAGATGGTCCTGGCTGCTGTCGAAAAATAGAAAAGTCAAGGTCAAGAACAAGGTCAGGGTCCTGCCCCTATCATGTGTCCATTTGCTTCTTCCCGCAGCCTCCAGACTCCCCAAGGCCCCCACACAGTCTAGTGCTGGGGCTCATCCTGATTCCAGCCATGTGCTCATGGTTAATCTCTCCAAACCTCAGTGTTTATGAAACAGGAATAATAAAAATACCCACCCATGCAGTTCAACGACTAAATGGCCTGGTGCACGAGAACAGCTGTGCCCAGGGCCTTGCTCCTGGTATGCACCCGGGAAATGTTGTCACAGGAAGGTATTGAGACCACAGTCTGCAGCCAGGCTGAGTTCCCATGCTATGGAGGAAGGGTTTATCACTGTCATCTTTATTTTGTAGATAGGGAAACCAAGGCTTTGGGAAGCCCAGGCAGCTTGGTAAACATGTCAGTGTCACCTCCCAGTCTACCCGTCCAGGCCCAAGCTTGCTGGGAGCACACTGGAGATGGGGTGCGGGAGGCACAGGTCTGGCTGGGGGTTTGGACCTCTGGAAGTTGCACTGCTTAAGTGGAGGCCTCGTGGCAGCTGACTGCACCCTGGGTTTTACTGAGGGCCTCTGGAGAGTCCTCCCCACGGAAAGGCAAACACATTGGTTCCCAATGACTGGACACATCAAACATGTGCGGCCTCCAAACCTCAAAGGGGGGTTGGCAGCTGGTGCCTTTCTGGCAATGAAAGCTGTTGATTTATTTTCCAAGCCAAATGGCTAGCTGGGTGTGCCCGTCACAACCTGCTGCTAGACATTCCTGCTAGGAGAGGCTTGGTCTGCATGAGGGCCCAGGGCAGACCTGCTCTGGGGCCTAGGGTCGCCGAGTCCTTCCCTTCAAGCTCCTGCAGCCTTTGCCTGTCCCTCTGTCTGTTTGTGGCAGGGCAGGGAATCCAAAGTGGTGGTTGTGAGCATCTCTGTCATTTGTTGGATGCTTTAGACTCCCTCAGAGCTCATCTGAGGCAGTGGCCCGCATTTGAAGTTGGCCTAGAGACTGGTCTCCTTTTCTGATTGGGGTTCCCAGGACTCCTCCCTCCCTCCCTGGCCCAAGCTATTTTCAGTCTTTCAGTGTTGGCAAATGCTGCTTTGGGACCAGCTCTTGGAGAACTTTTGCAAACATAGATGTACACAGAAAAGCGGGTGCCCAAAGCTCCTCAGTGACTTTGGCTGTCCCTGTGGAAGGCTCTGTCCTACCAGAATGGAGGACAGCAGGTACCCAAGGTATCCCGTGGCTGCTTGGCTGGATGGAGGTGGTGTGCTTCCACCGTCTCCCGAGAGGTCGGGCCTGATCATCCCCAAGCAAAGAGCTTCTCCAAGGCAGCGCCCTGCCACTCTGTCTCCCCTTCCCATACCTGCTGTCTGCACAGCCCTGCCTGTTCGTGTTTGTTGAGATGAATAGTTGGTGTGGACATAAACCATGAGTCAGGGCTTCTTGCATTCCAACCCACTTCCCACCCCAGGACCCCTGCCTTTGTGATCTCAGGGTCCTCTGTGTAAAGAGCTAAAATGATACCACGGGTGTTCAGCACCCATAAATGCTCTCCATACCTTGAGTCCCAAATAGGGTCAGAGTGCTGACCCTTAAACAGACACAGAGACAGGCATTCTGCTGACATTATGGGCTGGAAACAGAGATGGCAGTGTTAGGGTGAGGATGGCCATGGCACTTTCATCAGTCAGGATAGGTTAGGTTATGCTGTAGTAATAAATAAGTCTTCATCTCAATGGTGCAATATAGCACAGACTTACTTCTTACTCATATGACAGATCCCATAAGTACCAGCTGGGGCCTCATCTATGCTGGGGCTTAGGCCAATAGAGAAGCCATCATCTAGAATGTCATGTATTCCATAGTTGGAAGAATTGCATTCTGATTCTTGAAGTTTCCACCAGGAAGTGATCTATATCACTTTATCTATGTATCTATCTATGTATCTATGTATCTATCTACCTACCTACCTACTGGTACTAGGGATTGAATCCAAGGGTGCTTAACCACTGAGTGTAATCCCCAGCCCTTTTTATGTTTTTTTTTTTTTTTTTTGAGATGGAGTGTCACTAAGTTGCTTAGGACCTCACTAAGTTAGTGAGGCTGGCTTTGAAATTGTGATCCTCTTGCCTTAGCTTCCCAAGCTACTGGGATTATAGGTGTGTGCCACCACACCCAGCCTCATCACTTCTTTTTAAATGTCATTGGCCACAGCAAGGTTTACAGTGACATCTAACTTCAGTGTCCCAGAGAATTGAACCCTACCATGTTCTCCAAGGGAGAATTTGGATATCGGTGTACTGTGCGCTAAGAAATTCTGCACCATGTTTTGGAAACTTAAAGGATAATTCTTGGGGAATGGCTTCATCCCCTGAGTCTTAGTACCCTAATAGGCTAAGGAGGGAACAATGTTTATTCCACAGGTTAATGAGAGGGTTGGATGTGATGATATATTTAAAATAGAGTCAGCTCAATACCCATTTCCTCAATGTGTGCATGAAGATTCGGGAGAGAACGGTGAGGAAAACAGATTTGGTTCCAGCCTGCCCAGGTCCCACTGAACAGTGGATGAGAGGACATCCACATAATTTAAGGGGGTTGCAATTTTGATGTGTTCATTAAAGGGAAGTGAGGCACATAGATGGTGAAATAGATCCAGTGGCCGCTCTCGCCTGCCTCAAGCCCTGTGCCTGTGCCTTGGCTGTACCCCTTATCAAGAAGCAATGCCATTTCTCCACCTTTTGAGTGGGGATGGTCTTGGCTTGTTTTGGCCAATAGAGTGCAAGTTATGCTGTGCTGTTCTGGGTCTCAGCCTCAGGAGGCCTTGCGTGCCACTGCCACCACCATGAGGTTGTGGCTAGGTGAGCCTGCTGCCCAGGAGACCATGGGGAACACAGGGGAGTCCCCTCAGCAGAGCTGTCATTTACCAGCCATCCCCCAGCAGGCTGACAGGCTGACCATGGACACGGAACCTGTCCAACTGAGATCAGCTAATCTGGCCCAGGCTGACAGAACTGTCCAGCTATCTCATAGACAAATAGAAATAATGCATGGCTGTCATGTTAAGCTCTGGGGGTGGTTTTGTTACTCAGCATTATCGTGGCGATTATGTGACTGATACAGGAAGAGCCATGCTGTCACGAGAATGCATAACCAGAGAATTGAACTAGTCTGGGAGTCACATAGGGCTCCCCTGAGTGAGCAGAGACTGACTGGGATCTTGTGGAAGAGGGGAGTAGGTGTCCTCTGGGTGGTGGAGGAGCAGGCAGCAGAGGACGTGTGTGTGCAGATGAGCCCCTGTGGGAGATCACAGCCCCTTCAGACATGGAAAGGGATCAGAGAGGTGGGTGGCAGCAGCCACCTGGGAGTGCCGGGTTCCTTCCCAGGCCTCTGTAAATAAGCCTTTTCATTTCCAGGGAAGCCGACGTCCCACTCTGCATGAGCAATGTGCATGACACCATGTTTTGTGCCGTGTTTGTGTAACACAGGCCTCGAGGGCTCTGCTTTCTTGGGTCCCAGGGGAAGTCAGTGGGTGGCCTCGACGTCAGAGCTGAAAGGGCTCCTAGAGGTTGTCTTTCAACTTGTCCTGTGCGGAGACGGGGAGCAGTGGCCTGGAGAGGAGGTCCTGGGTGACCAGGTATGGACAAGACATCCTACTGCTTTTCTTCCAGTGCGTCTCCCTGCGTGGTGGGTGAGTCTTGGAGGCCTGGTGTCTTGATGAATAGTTTCAAGGAAGACCCACAGCAGGCACAGGTGGAAGTGGCCCAGAAAAGAGGGACAGATCCTGTTTAACTCCCTACTGTGTGTCAAAGGCTGTGTGAGGAGCTTTATGCAGATCATTTCATTCTCTCGGCAACACGGTAAGACAGTTGAATTTATTTTTATTTTATTCCATTCGCCTGATACACTGAGAAACTGACATGCAGAGATTAAATAATCTCAGCGCACCTGGCTGACGAGCGTGAGACTCTCCTTGACTTCAAAGTCCATGTCTTCTCTCCCCCAAAGCTGCCACTCTGTGCCTAGTTCCTTCCTGGTGGAATCCCTTGACTTCCGTTGCTTGCGAGGGACTTCAGATGGAGCAGATATTTATTATCATTATTATTATTTTTGTCTAGTCAGTTCTCAACCTTGGCCTTTCCTTTGGAGAACCTTGACATGGCAAAAAGCCCAATTCTGCCAACTCTTCTTCCCTAGCCTAAGCCATGGGGCAACTCTGCAAAGACAGAAGTTACAGCAAACCTTCCGGAATTCATTCCAGATGGAGTCTGGCCTGTCGGCCTAGGAAATGTGCAGGATTCAGCAGGCCGCATGACTCGGCTGCCCCCACCCAGCCTCCCTTGGGGAAGTCAGCCTGCGTAGCTTAGGGCAAGAAGGTCAGGAGATTCTTACTGGGAGACAAACTAGCACTGCTTAGCTGGGAGTTGATGGCAGAAGCCCAAACTGCTGTGAGAGGTTTCTAGGGGTCAGATCAATGCAGCTCAGTTCAGTTCACCTGGACTCAACTGGACCGAGCTCGGCTCCGCTTAACACCAATAGGATTCAGCTCACCCCACTCCGCCTGGGCAGCTCAGCATCCAGAAAGAGGGAGCATTGATGGCAGGGGTAGAGTGAGCAGATGGTCAGAGAGAACAGAGGGGGCAGAGGGAAGAGGAGACTGAGGTAAAAGGCAAGAAGTGAGATTCAAGAGAGCTCTGAGTGCATGCTCGGGAGTTTGGACTTTCTCTGTAAGAACAGTAATCTGTGAGATAAATTTCATTTTATTCTTACAAAAATCCTGGGAAACATTCAGGGCAGGGATGACTGTCTCAACCACATCGAAAAAAATCATGTCTTATTGGTTTCTGTCTCCTCAGGTCCACAGCTGGCCTGCAGCAGCCTTGGTGTGACTCAAACTTTCTTTTTACACCATGAAATATCCAGAAAACAGAGGGAGGATGGGAGGCAATGGGGGCAGACAAATGGCCAGAAGAGAATGAGAGTTTGGAAAAAGGCAGGCGTCCCACAGATTGTTGAGAGAGGATGTTTGCTAAACATGTCTTCAAGTTCCAATGAACGGCATGCCACATCTAGAACATATTTAGTTGAATTAAAAAATCATGGTCCCATTTTCCCAAATCTCTTACTTTTCTAGAACTTTAAGTTTCTTATCTGCAGAAATGAAGTTTGTTCCCTAAATGATTTTTAATATCCAAATGAGAAGGAAATGCTTCAAAGAAATAACTTTTGATCTACAGATTCAATGCAATTCCTGCCAAGTCACCTATGATGTTGTCACAGACCTGGGAAAAAATGTACTAGAATTTCTTTGTAAGGATAAAAGACTTAGAATAGCCAAAGTAATTCTAAGTAAAAAAGACAAAGCTGAAGGCATCACAATATCCAACTTCAAATTATACTCCAGAGCTATGGTAACAAAACCTGCAGGGTACTGGCATAGACCAAAGGAATGGAATAGAAGACACAGAGACAAAGCCTCAAAGATGGAACCATCCGATCTTCGGCAAAGGCTTCAAAAACCTCCCTTGGAGAAAAGACAGCCTTTTCAACAAGGGGTGCTAGGAAACTTGGATATACCCATTTGTAGAAGAACGAAATAGAACCCTGTCTCTCACCCTGCAAGAAAGTTTACTCGAGTGGATCAAAGATCTAGGGATTACACCAGGAACTTTGCAACTCCTGGAAGAAAACAGAGGCTCCATGCACCGACCTATGAGTGCAAGCAACAACTTCCCAAACAGAACTTCTACAGCTGAGGAAACAAAACCAAGAATTAGCAATTAGATGGCATCGAATTTAAAAAGCTTCTGCACATCAACAGAACCAAGAGCATGAAGAGGGAACCCAAAGAAGAGGAGAATATCTTTGCTAGTTACTCTTCCAACAGAAGGTTAATATCCAGAATATATAAAGAACTGAAAAAGCTTAACGTCAGAAACCAAATAACCAGATAAATAAATGGTCAAACAAACTAAAGAGACATTTATCAAAAGAAGAAATACAAATAGCCAATACATGTGTAAAACGTGTTCACCACCTTTAGCAATCTGGAAAGTGCAGATCAAAGCTACACTTGAGTGACATTTCTTCTCACCTGTCAGAATGGTGGCCAACAAGAATTCAAATAATGAATGCCAGACAAGATGTGGGGCAAAGGGAATGCTGTTTTACAATGTTGTGAATAAGTAGAACAACTATGGAAACCAATATGGAGATTCCTCCAAAGACTAGGAATGGAACCACCATATGACCCAACTATACTACTCCTTGGTATTTATTATAATTAAATTCATCATACCACAGAGATACATACATACCCATGTTTAGAGCAGCACAATTCACAATAGCAAAGTTATGGGACCAGCCTAGGTGTTTTCAGTGGATGAACGGCTAAAGAAAATGTGTTGTAAATTCACAATGGAGTCTTCTTCAGCCATAAAGAAGAATTAAATGATGTCATTTTCAGGATACTGGATGGAAATTGAGAGCATTATGTTACGTGAAATAAGTCAAACTTGTATGTTTTCTCTAGTATGTGGAAATAAGAGTGAAAAATTTGGTGAAAAGGTAAGAGGGCAATGTCATGAAAACAGAGGGGAGACCCACAGGGCAGAGGAAGGGGCCAAGGGAAGGGCTGAGGGGAGGCAGGGGAGAAGTAACGGGGAATGAAATTGACCAAATTTTATTGTTCTATTGTGTGCATGTACACACGTCTAGTAACAAATCCCACTATTATGTACAATTATAATGCCTCATTAAAAAAGAAATCAGTACCAAACTTAAGAAAAATATGGGAAATATTTCAACACCCTTGTACTCACTGCCTAGAATAGACTAAGATTAATGTTTTGCCCAAGTGGTTTTGGCTTTTTGTTTGTTTTGAAAATAAAATCATTGACAGTTATGTTACGGTTCCATTTGTGTCCCTCTCAAATCCGTTTTTCTCACTTTTTGCCTAAGGTCAAGAATTAGAAGTGTCCTGTTCTGGACTTGGACAAAGAATGGACTTCTCTATCAGCATGGTGTCCTTTGAGTACTCCACAGCACTATGTACAGGACATGTTACTCTACTACTCTGCAACTTGGATATTCTAAGAGATGAGTTTAATCCATTTACATTTATTGTGACTCCTAGGAATTATTTTCTGTTTCGTTCCCTACATGTAATTCCTGGGTATCCATGGGCATTTGATTCCAGGAGTGCCATAGATGCCAAAATCTGAGGATGCTGAAGACCCTTTTATAAAATGGCCTAGTATTTGCAGATAACTCATGCACGTCTCCTGCATACTCTAAGTCTTCTCTAGATTATAATATCTAATACAACGTAAATGCTATATTAAGAGTCACCATATTAAGAGTCACTATGTTAAGAGTTTTTATACCGTATCGTTTAGGGGATAATGACAAATAAAAAAGTCTATGCATGGTTAGTACAGATGCATTTTTTTTTCCAAATAATTTTGATCCCAGCTTGGTTGAATCTGTAGATTCAGAACCCATGGTTATGGAGGGACACTCTATGTTTTTTCCTTATTGCTACTTTAAAAAAACCATTTAATTTGTCTTCTATTGTAAGAGGTGGCAAACTGTAGCCTGTGGGCTGAATCCAGACAGCTACCTATTTTGTGAACAATGTGATATTGGAACCCAGGCATGCTCAGTTATTTCCTGCTGGTCTCTGGTTGCATTTGCCTGGCAATGGTTGAGTTTGACGGAGCTGCGTGGCTTCCAGAGCTGAAAGGGTTTGCTATGTGGCTCTCTGTAGATAATATAAAGTTTGTAGTCTTTGTCTCCAGGGTTGGTTTTATTTTTGTAACTACTGGTTTTGAAGTAACATATCTTTTTGAAAAAGCAGTTGTCCTTAAAATTTTAAGGTGAATGTTTAGCAAAATCTAATGCAATTTCTATTCTCTTCCTTAACAATTTATCCCAGAACTCTTTAAGTCTGAACTCTCTCTTTAAAAAATAATTACTTAATTTTTCAATTCTGTGTCATTGAACCCTTCTAGTAGTCATTCTTATTTTTTTTGCAGCCAATGTTTATCCAGCCTTCCAATATATTTACCTATTATAGATTCCCACTCTTTAGCCTTATACTTCATTTTGACTTTTTTTCCTTTTTAAAATTTTAACACATCTAACTGACAAAGATTGTCAACGTTCAATGTGTGCAACATGATAATTAGCTATAGGCACACCCTGTGTAATGATTGCTATATTCAAATTAATCAAGAAATTCATCACCACCCGTTCTGTACATTAGATTCCCAGAACTTGTTAATATTGTGACTTGAACTTTGTACCCCGGGCCAGCATCTCCCCATTTCCCTCACCCCTTAGCCCCTGAACCATTCACTACCTCTGCTTCTCAGTCTGGCCTTTTTAGATGATACCTACATGTCAGATCACAGAGTATTTGTTTTCCTGTGCCTGCTCTATTTTACTTGGCGTGAAGTCTTTCGGTTTCTCATCCACGTTGCAGATGTCAGGATTTCCTTCTTTTTAGGGTGTTATGTGTCCTTTGTACATTTATCACATGATCTTTATCCAGTTGTCTCTCAATGAATTCTTGGATGTCTCCTATACTTTGATGATTGTGAATAATGCTACCGTGAAAATGGGGTGCAGGTATCTCTTGAGATACTGATTTCGTTTCCTTTGGGCATACACACCCAGAAGTGGACTTGTTGGATTTTGGGCAGTCCTATATTGAATTTTTGGAGGAACCACCATATTGTTTTCCAGAGTGGCTGTACCTATTTCCAGTCCCACCAGCAATATACAAGGTTCTTTTCTCTCAACACCTTCTCCAACACTTGTTATTATCTGCCTTTTTGATAATGGGGGGAGGTGATATCTCTTTGTGGTTTGAATTCGCATTTTTCTTTCTGATTTTATTTCCTTCGTGGAGTAAGTAGTTTTGTTCAGTGAGATTCGGCAGATGATAAATTCTTTGGGTGTCTGAGAATGACTGTTGTGGTTGTTACTCTGGAACAGCAGCTTGGTTGGACCTTCTGGAAGCTTCAACAGGCTGTGCTGTTGCCTCAGACTTGAAGGGTGCTGATAGGAGTCAGCCATTACTCCATCCTTCTTGTCTCTTCTCTCTGGTGATCTCTAAACTTCCCTCTTTATCCTCGACGTTGGCTAGTTTCGCTCTACTTCATGTTGCTTCGAGTCGGTATGACATATTTTTTTTTCAGTTCTGAAAAAGCTGTCAGTTCTCAGCTTTTTCAAATCTCTCTCTCACCCACACTCTTTCTCATTTTTCTCTGTGCAACTCATATCAGACATAGTGGATTGAGGTGGATGAAATTGCTGAGAACCAACTCTTGGTGACCTACAAAAATAATTCAACCTAATATATTGGAGCTGCTCTTGTTTCCATACAGATCTTACATGACTCTTTAATTTTTCCCATTTATCTCTCTTTTTTAATGTTTAGTGTGATTTCTCAGTTGTTTATTTTAGAGTTCAATATTTTTGCTTCCACGTAGCTATTCTTCTGTTTAAATGGTCGTTGAAATTCTCAATTTTAATTATCATCTGATTCATTTCTAGAATCTCTACTGAGTTCTTTTAGAGATGGCTCTTCTTTCCCATACTGTTTTGCTCTTGTATGCATTTTTTTGCTTTGGATTTCTTCCTCTCTCTTTGAAGATTTTAAGTGTGCTTATTTAAAAGTGTCTTTCAAATCTTTCCTTAATTTCTACTTCTGAAGGTGAATTTCTCTCATTTTCTAGAGCTTTTGATTGTACCGTGCTTCATGTGGTTTTCTCACTCATGTGAATTCTAGTTTTTTTATTGTGAGCTCCTCTTCAGCAGGGGTAGCTTTCCACAGGCCCTGGTGTCCTGAGTTTTGAAAGTATCTTCTCTGAGAAATTTACCTCTGTCTTGGCTAGGCTCCTATGTAGTTTTATTATGCCTGCGCCAATTTTATATTAAAATTTTAGCTTGGGATTTCACGAATGGGCCACACTTTATAATGCCTGGTTTCACGTGGGGTCTCAGGGTCTTACCTCTGCCTCCCTGAAGTCTGAGATCTCCTTCCTTCTGCTCTCTAGTTTCTAGAAATCCAGTCTTGATATTCTGGGAGTTGTCTGTCTTCAACTTTTGTCAGCTACTCTGTTTTGAGTTTTGTCTTCACTTTGTGTTCTTGGAAACCTTCCTTTCCTTGCTTTTGAGCTTGGCTTGATACTTCAATGGTTGGTTGTCATACTGGTTGGACATTTGTATTTGTTTTTACCAGGGAATGGACACTTTCCTGTGTTGGCTCTGCCCACCGTATTGACTGGACTTCAGAGTATCAGATATTATTATGGATGTTTTTATTATCCTGGTGGGAGATGCATAAGTCAGCAGAAGTAAGACAATGGATGTAAGTCCGGTTTGTAAACGTTCAAGTTCTCTCTTAACGGAAGACATGGGGTGCTCAAATTTTTTTCCTAACACAGGAATTTTAAAAATATCCTCTACAAATTGAAATTAGTGGGAGAGCTGCCTACATTTGCCATTTCTGCTTTTTCATCTCCTGTACAGAAATGTCACATATCTAGGTCACTAATGTGACCTCCACCCAGCCGACTCCGCGGGTAGCTCCGCAGCCTCTTGCTCATTTGGTTCAGCGGCAGTGCTCCGGGACCCCCCTCTCTCCTTGCAGACCCTGCAGTCCGTATGCTTCTCCTCTGCTCCTCTCCAAGGCCACTTCTTTCACACAGGTCAGCTTCAGCTCCACACACGTGCTGCAGGAGACCTCTGATTACCCTCTGAAGCCGCCACAGCCTCTGCCCCTCGTTTTCTCTGCTATCACCCTGCTCTACTCTCTAAGCCCTTGTCACCAAATGGCATCTTGCTGACTTCTCTACTCGCTTGTGTTCTACCCCTCCACAAGGGTGCACATGCCATCAGGGCGGGTACTGGCCTTCCCTTTCCACACCCATTTCCCGGCACTGGGAACTGAGAGCCATGCCCGGCACATAGTAGGCTCTTCATCGTTGATTGTCTCAATTGTCATTCTATTTGATGCATGTTCTCTCCTTCATTTCTGAACAACTCTGCAAAGGAGAAATTCCTTTGCCCTTTATTGAGAGAAGGAAAGTGAGAATCCGAGAAGCAAGGTGTCCTAATGCCAGGGTCCTGATGCCAGGCAGAGGCAGAGCCGGGCTCAGGTTTTCCCACACGATGCAGGCCTAACTTCTTCTCTCACATCAACTCACTCTTTCTCTTACGAACAGATTTGGGGTTTGGGTGCCGGGGTCAAGACACAAACAGTTCAGTCAAGGTGTCCCTTTTGTTTGAGAACAAACCCTTTTCTTTAAGCCAACGAAGACCGTCCGAGACCCTGAGTCCCCACACTGGGTGGCAGGGTTCCTTGTAGATGCTCACATGGTTGGCATCATGCAGAGGCATTTTTTAAATCAACTCTGTTTTGGAGTCTTTTAAACCATAAAAAGACCAGTGTGAAACCACAGAACTTCTATGTTTCTTGCACTTTTAAAACTAAAGACGAAAAAAAAAAAGTGGAGGGGTGGGGGTTGCTGGCTTATTTGAACCATATTTTGTAAACGCCAGCTTCTCTCCCAGGCTGCGGCGGCTGGTGCCAAGTTGTGACTCGCCACACATTTTTACAGGCCTGGTTGTCAACCTTTGCAAACAGCTGCCTGCAGTGGATGACTGACAGCGCCCAGATCCCATGCAGGAGCAGGCACCACCGTGATGTCCGCCGAGCATCCAGATTCCTTTCCCGGCTCTGGAGACGTCATCTGTCCTTTGGCTGCAGATGCTAACTCACCCCTCCAAGGTTGTCCTGGTTCTTTTGTGCACTTAAACATTGGGGGAGTTGGCACTAGCAGTGCATCAGGACATAAGTGAGCCCCATATAAGAAGAGAATGCAGCTTGGTGTCCACTGTGCCCAGAAATAGCATGTGGTCAGGCAAATGTTTTGGGTCTGAGACTGCAGTTTGAATCCTGTCTTTAGTTGCCAGCACTCACTGTGAGTGACTTTGGACTAGTCACTTACCTGGCCCATCCTTGGTTTTCTTACCTGCATAATGGGACTTCTAATCCTGCCTTGGAGGCTGGGCATGAAGACAGAATGAGAGAGTGCTCAGGAGCGGGCTTAACATGATGGACTGCATTGTTGGTGAGACCCAAGTTCAAATCCCGACTCCGGTTCCTACCAGCTGTGTGCTCGGTCTCAGCTTCCCTATCTCCCCACTGAGATATTAGAGGTTAAATGAGATAATGTGTATAAAGGTCTTGGCACAGAGCCT